GAGGTTGAGTTTTCATTCTGGCTTGGGTCAGAGCGCATATAGTCCCCCTTAACTAGATGAATTATGGGGTATATGGGGATCTTATTATAATATACCCAAAGCAATATTGTATCTACTTCAGGTTCTTTTGGAATATTGGTTACTGTCCATAGGTGGTGTCTTTTTGCGGGGTAGCATGCTTATACAATCCTGGCTCTTGTAGTTGTCCCTGCTGGACCCCCTTAGATGACTGCTGCCCAGCCTCCTTGAAGTCCGTCATGAGATCTTTGCAAGTTTCTTCTCATGCAGCTACTGGATCTGCTGCTGACCTTGAGTTTGGGGGATCAAGGCATGAGAGATTTGGCCAGGGACTTCATTCTCAGATTGAAACAGATATCAAAACTTCCTTACCTTCGCCGGTTGCATATCTGAGTCTACCTGTGTCCTTGTGGTGGCACTGCCGCCAGAGAAGACAACGAACGACGAGGCGCATTCTTAAGGGCGGCATGGGCGCACATCGCAAGCCCAGGCTATCCAGAGCGCTACGACTTGCTACTCGAGGAGGCCCTGGTCAGCTTTAGCGAAGCAGTGTAGGAACTTTGGCTGAAGGACATGCAAACTTAAGACCCCCTGTGTGTTTCCGGCAAACTGGATTGGCATTTGTTGGCGCTTTTTCTGGGAATTGGATTGGCGTCTCTTTTTGAGGTGAGTCTCCTGGATGTTCGGGACTTCCATCCCTCATGGAACAAGTTGGCCTACGCCCGCCGAGTTTCTTGGCTTGGGGAAACTTGGAGTTCCGCTCGCACCTCTTGCCAAACATGCTGTGATTTTTTTCTTTTTTTTATGTTGGAGGTATTGCTTCTTCAGGCTCTGATCTTGGGCAGCTACCAGGCCGTTGTCTGCTTCGATGATGACATCCTCATCACAAATCCCAGGACAGTCTTGCGGTTTGTCATTGGGATGAAAGCTTGTAGCAGAGTCTGAGTGACCGTGGAACAGGATCGATCCGATTTATGATGCGCTTGTCTGGGTCTGAGCCAACCCGGAAGACCTTTCCTGTTTGGACTTCAACCCAGGTTAAGTAAGTAATCCAACTGCATCGAAGGCCACCCTGCAGCTTGCAATGTTGCGCAGACTAGTGCGAGGGAATCGCGCAAGGCACCAGCGCATGAGATGCGAAGGCCCTAGTGACAATGGTGGTGCACGTTTGCACCTTCAACTGCAACATGCTTTGGCATCTTCTGTTCCTCAAGAAGTACTATCGGGGGCGGCAACACCCTGCAGCTGGACTAGCCAAGCTTGTCGCCGCAACAGCATGGCCCTCCACAGCAACAGCATGTGAACATTGCATCTGCAATTGTTTAACTAAGGTGGAGCACTTCAGCGTGGGTGCCCCGGCCACTGCAGCAAAGTAAGAGGCCAGACTTGCAAATGTCTGCTTACAAGTCGCTAGTGCTTGCGGCAAGGGTTGAATTTGGTAATGCTGAGTCAAGCTGCTGTAGCCGCTGTCGACTTCAAAGACTTCCTTTCCGAAGACTGTCCACAGAACAGTCATCACTTGTTGGCTGAAGCAGCACCTCTTTACTAAGTTAAGAGAACACATTGCTAGATTTGCAGCGTTTTAAGAGGCATTGCACCTTGATCATCCTGATCAGAAGTACCAGATACCACACGTTGTAGAACACTCAGGCGTTGTGCCAGACTGTCGTTTCTTGGAATTTCAATACGCCGGCCAGGATCTGCATATCAGAATCTACGTCTCGCAATTCCTAAGAATCAGTGTGATTGGGCTCGTAAGGCGTCAAAAGCAGTGCAGAATCTCGCCATCGCCGGAGTCCTTACGTTCATGTTGCTAGTAAGATGTGCAACATCCTTACACGTTCTCCTGGTTGAGAAATGCTCAGGTAGGCCTTGTACATGCCTCATTGAACTCCTATAGCCATCTGAAACAATCCATAACGGAGTTTGTAGAAATCCAGCCGTCACATGGGGTTCCTATGATTTGGCAGGATTCTTGTTCAGGAGCATAAGGCAGTTTCTCTACGTAACGGGACCCCAACATAGAGCCCACAATATTCTAATCCTTATCGTAGGGACCCCCAAACTCCCAAAAAGGTACGCCTAATTTTGGAAAAACACTATAATCCTTATAAACCCAAATTCCATTTCATGATCCCTTTTCTTTTCCATTTGATTCTCCATTATTGGAGTAATATGTTGGAGTTACTTGAGTAGAGCAAGTCTGCTGGGCCCAAGGCAGGCGAGAAGCTGGTCGTTGCCTCCTTGGATGAGCAGGTGTCAACATGGGATTTAGGAGGTGGTTTCTGAACCCTAAACCCTAAACCCCTAAAACTGAAAACCTTAATCTCCTAGACTCTTCACCCTAAACCTTTCTGAAATTGATGGAGAAAAGTTCCAAAAAAGAACTTTCTGAAATTTACGGATGGAATTGGCTGATGGTGTTTTTTTTATCCCCCAGATGAAGGGTTCTCATGTCTAGTAGCGCCCCATGCGCAAAGAGTTGCCATAAAGCTTGTGTAGGGCTCTTAGAGTTTAAGGTTTAGGGTTTTGGGTTCTGGGTTAAGGGTTCAGGGTTTAGGGTTCGAATTTCACATTGAGACTGAGTCCAGCCTCTGATTTTGGGGTCTGTGATGTCAGTCTTCTTTCGTTGTTGTAGGCTAGGTTGCCTCGGTCTTTTTGGATTGCATGTAGGATTGATTGCTTACTGGGCTACATAGCTGTTCAAGATTCTAATGCTTTTTTCATTCTGAAACAACAAGGGGGACAAAAGGAGGACCTGCGTTGGGAACAGCCACAGGAGCCGCCATGTAGACGCATGTATCTCAACTTCCTGGTTCTTGGCAGGGAAGAAGGGAATATGCTATACAGGGATCATATAGGGATCACATTCCCTCAATTATTCCATGCTAAGCTCCGCTACCTTCACGAGCGTATGTTGGCCTCCTCAACCCCTAACAGCAGGACGTCGAGAATCACAGAGCAACACAGCGGATGTCAAATGGCCTGTGCACTTTCTTAGTCCCAGTCTGTGTATCATCCCAATGTATACGCACGGACGTGCTCGATGAGTCTCCAAATCTAGTTCTTCCTGCTTTGGCTGTATTGCAATTTCCCACGGCCTCATGGGGGCATGGCTTGCTGCGTTGGGCTGCAGGGTGCAGTGCTTCTAGAGAGCATCATGCAGTGAAAACGGTATCTACCTAGGTGTGGAGAGGAATAAGCAACTCTCCAGCAAGGTTCTGAAATCGAAATATACCAGTTCTATTCGCAGGAAGAATGAGGAATGATTTACAAAAGCAAGAACAGCAGTAAGAATATTAATGCTAAAGCTAGCAGCTAGCAATTAAGATACTAGTAATAATAGTAGTAATAGTAGGCTGTGAAGAGCCAGGTCAATGCGCGAGTGCCGTTTAACACCGGTGCGTGGGCCTTAGGTTACACGCACCTTGGGACTTGCATACCTGGTCCCTGTCTGCTAATATGAGCTATAGTCTAAACTCCTTAAAGGGGGTTATATAGGGGATTATATAGGGTACTACTATAGGGGTTATTAAGGGGGATACTAGGAGTCTAGATTATAGCTCATATGGGGGCTTTATAGGAGATATACAGGGATGTGTTGGCCCTATAAGCGGAACATGACATGGGGACTTCTAAATCTTGCATACCTGGTTCCTGTCCTTTGAAATGGGTATGTGGCATGCGAGATTCCCAGTCCGCAAGCGTTTGGATATGTTTGGATCATATGCATAAGGAGTCCGGAAAGTGACCATAGTTGTCAACATGCCCGCAATGACTCGAGCCTCGAGGCATTTCACCCCCACACTGCCAGCTGGGGTCATCCGTGGGGCGATGGGACCCTAGATGCAAGGTTTTGGCTCTGCGAACATCTCCGTTAACGCTTGCAGCTGAGTTGGCAGTTTGTTTTTAAGGGTTGACAGATTGTGATGGAGAAGAAGTGCTCGGACTGGACTTGGCGGGTGCACTGAAAGAAAGAAAACGCTTCCTGAGCTGCGCTCCAGAAGCTCCTTTGCCGCTAAGGGTAGTAATGTAAATATAGACATAGTAATAGTAATAATAATGAGAATAGTAATAGTAATAAGAGTCATAGTAAAAATGGTAATACTGGTGAGAGTAGTAATAATACAATCGTTAACCACTGTGGCGCAGTTCGGACAAGCCCTTGTGCTTTCCACTGCTCGTGGGAGGCTCAACCTCCTGGACAAAGTTTTCCAGCTAGGCGCCTTGCTTGGGAAGGAATGCGATTCCTTTGGGTTTCGCTCAGCTAAGACTATGGGCCGGTAGGCCAAACATGATACACTCCCCCAAATTAACATGGAAACCCATATAGCCCCCCTTTAAAAGGACTGTAGTCCTTATGGGGCCCTTTTTGGGTTTCCATGTTAGTTTCCGGGAGGGTACAGCACTGGTGTTCGATCCCTGGCGCAACACTTTACACCAGAAAGTGCATTTGTCATCGCATGCGGTGTGCACAGACTTTTAGTGCCTTGAGCAGAACGCCAGTTGACGCTCGCATGTTACAATATGTTGCATGTTTCGTTGCTGAACAAACCTGCAGTCTGTGTTGAGGAATTATTTTGCATTTTGATTACAGTATAACCCTGAGGAATGTTGGAAAACAATGTGCCCATTATAGGTTTAAGGGGGTTACAGACAGAGCCTAGCGCGGCTGATACCAGTCGCAGCAAGCGCAGGCTCATGAGTAGGCAAAGTAGGAAATGCTGGTGATGAAGGTCTTCTTGCCGACTCAGCCTTCTCATCCTGGTAAGCAGAATGATGATGATAACGATTGTATCATTATTGCTTTTACCATTCTTATCATTTCTACGTTGACTCTTATTACTGTTACTGTTACTATTATTATTACTACTATTCTTACTATTATTCTTGATTCTCCCCATCATCACCATGACCATGCTTGATGCTTGCATGATCCTGGGGGTCCATGGGCCTGACAGGCAGGAAGCTGAAGCACGTAAATGGGTACGCGTGGCTGCCGGAGCCTGAGCCGTGGATCTTCCCGGCTTTGAGACATATACTCATACTCTTAGGATCTCTTGGGGTAGTTTCCCAAAATTAGGGTACCCCAATATAGACCCCAATATAGTACGGTGCCTACTTTTAGATATATGGAGGGCGGCCAAAGGCTGATGCTCACAGAGGTAGTATAAAAGATCTGTTTAAATCCGGATGTTCAAAAGTTTTGGGCCAGCTCTGAAATAGTCGACCTTCCAGCCCTCCGCCCTCCAGCTCCAGCCCCTCCAGCCCCTCCAGCCCCTCAGCCCTCCAACCCACGGGCGCCGTCGCTTTGGTGGAGTGCTTGGTCATTAGGCGCACTTAGCGGAGGTTTGTGGAATGATTTTACCTTACCGCCCGATGGGGGAGCTTGCAGGCGGAGGACGTGGTCATCGGAGGCGAGATCTGTGGAGGTCTTGGGACCGCTTCAGCTTTAGTGAAGTAAGAACCTCACCGCTTCTTGGGCGGCCTTCCCGTCGTTCGTTCGGAGGTGGGCGTGGTCAGGGGAGGCGCACTCTGCGGAGGTCTGTTGTCGCACCTGGTTCCATGGTCCTTTTGCTACCGTTGTTAGGCGGCGGTGGAAAGGTGTTCGCCAGTGGAGAGTTTGGTTTGGAGCGGGTGCTGCCGAAAAGGCTCGCTGCGCGCAGAAGGGCGCCCCCTCCAACCCCTCCAGCCCCTCCAGCCCCTCCAGCCCCTCCAACCCCTCCAGCCGCGCAGCCCCTCCAAGCCCCTCCAAGCCCCTCCAGCCCCTCAATGGAGGTTGGAATTTACGTATACTGGATTTCCCCTATCCCTAAAGTCTAACCCCTAAACCATAATGTTTAA